TCTCTCCTCGCCCCCCACCATTCCCACCGACAAGATAGGCTTCATCATATTTTCTTTTCAGCTGGCTTTTTGGTTGATAAGGCTACTGCCTGTCGTTTCTTTGTCTGCTTGTGCTGAATCGCCTACTTTTTTGTGGTCCCGGGGCCCGAACTGATGTTATTTTAATTTACTTGTATTAATGACCCATTTCCAATGTTCTCCGTTCATTGCGCCCCACCTGTCATGGATTTATTCCCCACTAAAGGGGCGCGCCCCACACTTTGAGAACCACGGCCTTAATACAGTAGCTTTTCAAACTAAGATAGTGCTACAAATGAATCTCAGTCACACTGAACTGGGTCTTACAGCTGGGTTTGAGCTAGTCATTGTTTTTCAGTTTAAATCACAAGTTTTTTTTTTCAAATTACAAGAGCCACTGTTTTTAAAATGAGATTAAAACACATTATTATCAATAACATGCTAAAAGAGATGACACAATATTTCAGTAACTGTTGCCCACTAACATAACAGCTAATTGGGTCAGACAACTACATAATTAAACTCTTGTGTCAAAGTCTATTGCCCTGTTAAATAGTGTCTCCCCGTAGCAATGCCTGTGAAAGGCGGCGATAGCTCACAGGTTAGTTGTCACAGGCCTCTGTGATTTGTCTGTTCTTCTGTAACACAGCTGGTCAAGTATGCAAACCTCAGTGGCAAAATCATAATGCTGTCTTTCACCTGTCACCAGCATTAAGTTACACCTGCTGTTGCAAAAGCAATGCACAAGTGCCTAGTTCTTGGATTTCTATGTAGGGAATGCTATGTGACTGAAATATGGAGCAATGTTTGGAGTGCTGATGTCACAGATGAAGCTAGGATTAGTCATCAGGTTAAAATAATGGGAAACAATTTGGCATTTGTTGGCATTTACCAGACAGAAAGGCTCACACTAAATTATGCTATTGGTTGAACTATGGGAAATGCAGGATCCAAGGTTTTTGGAGCTTGATCCAAAAATCGGGATAGCCTGTCTCAGCTTCTGTCTTGTGAGAGGCACCCATGGAAAAGCAGTATTAAAATCTCTGGAGCCCTCCTTTAAACTGCAGTCTCAACATACTGTAGGTCAGAAGCACAAAATCAGGGAACTACTGATACTTTAGAAGAGCAGTTTCTTGACAACAGGCTACTTTTTCTAAAGTAAACATTTTAACAAATGGCTCCTTGTAATTGAATTTTTTTAAAACACTGTGGCATTTTTATGTTTACAGAGTCTGAATAGAATATTTCCTCCACCACTGAGAATAATTAGCCTGCACATTATTTTAAAAACTAATTGATAGTAGACTAGAGGCCGTGACGTCATTCTTAAACATCATACAGACACTTCTGTAATGTGGGCTGTTATGTCTGTAGCAGTGGAGGAAACACGGGACAGGTCCAGTGATTATAACAGCTATAACACGCTGACGGTGGGAAACAATCCTGCCTCGTACCTTGGAGATGATGAGCGGTTCCCCGTGCTCCAAG